GGTGATGGTGATACTGTAATATCTAATTCAACATCATCAACATCCTCAAAAGATAAATCATCATCAAAAAAAAAGAACTCAAAAAAAACAATTATTGCTCTAGAAGAAGCAAACGATCAAAAATCGATAGGAATAATAGATGACGATAATGTCAATGATGTTAACGATAACAATGTAGTAGTTGGAGAAAAAAAAAATAAAAAAACAATTAAATCAACTAAAGTTAAAAAAAATAATGAAATCGACCCGTCTTTCTCAACATCTAATAATAATAACAATAATATTAATATTAAAACTAGTATAGACACTAATGGTGCTATTAGTAGTAGTAATGGTATTATTGCTAATGGTAATGGTAATAGTAATGGAATTAACGGTAATAGCGATGTTGTTGTTGATATACCCGAAGAACTTAGATTTAGTTCATACAATATTTCGAAACAAACAATTGATTCATTGAAAAAACGCGGAATCGAATCCCTATTTCCTATTCAATCTGCGGCTTTTAATCCAATTTATAATGGAAAAGATGTTTTAGCTAGAGCAAAGGTTCTTAAATTTTATGAATTGATAATTTAGAGTTTTTTTTTTTTTTTTTGATGTTTTTCTTAAATTTTAATTTTTTTAGACTGGAACCGGGAAAAAATTAGCATTTGCATTACCAATAACTGAAGTCTTATTATCTTCCGCATCATCTTCTTCATCTTCATCTTCTTCTACATCCTTTTCAAAAAATAACCGTTTTAGCAAATATAATGGCCCAAAAGCAATGATAATAACACCAACGAGAGATTTAGCAAAACAAATTTCGGCCGAATTTGAATCAACAACAAACAACACCAACTTAAAAACTTTGTGTGTTTACGGTGGCGTACCTTATGATCATCAGACACAAAACTTACGCGAGGGATTGGTTGATATTTTAGTGGGTACGCCTGGTAGAATATTGGACCATATTAATTATGGTAATTTGAAATTATCGGAATTGAAATTTATTTGCCTTGACGAGGCTGATCAAATGTTGGATATTGGATTTGCAGAGTCGATAGAAACTGTTTTGCAACTTGTTAAGAAACAAAAACAAG